GGAAGGTCAGGCATTTTTGCCATATCATATTCTTTGGTGGGATTGTCGATGAAGCAAACTTATATTTGCCCTAATCTCGTCTCCATCCATTAGGCTGAGTCCTGAAGTAGAGAAGATATTTCGACCACCTTACTGGATTTATCGCTTTATTTCCCAAATAGCGCACAGTTTTATGCTATTTATTAGGGGTCTGACACGGTTTGTTATTCGTAAAGATTTTCAAGATTAATTCATTAAACAAATTCGCCCTATACAAATTATGGAATTCTTCCAATAAATATAAATCCTAAGCATTCTCTGCCAGGCTACTCTTCAGCTTATTTAGTATTATTATTCCTACGACGTTGTTCCCAACTACATATCACACCTGACTTCATCGAAGGCACAGCTCCAAATCAGTTTGTTCTTCTGCATACCCCTCTCATGTCTCATTCGCAAGTGCTCCACAATTTACGACAAGCGCTAAGTATGCCCTGCTAGTAAGAGACTAGTACATCACTTTTTTATATGCAAATTTTTCACTCCCAACCTTGTGTTGTCCGAGCTACAGTATTCTTACTTGTTCACGTCTGGAGCTGAGACTGAAACTAAGGCTTCTCGCCGTCCGACTACATAGTCTATGAATAACCACCTCACACCTCGCCGCTATTTGGTATCGTAGCGCTAAGGAACACAAAATGGAGTCAGATCACAAAAAATAGATAAAGACTTCCGGAAGTTGTATCTAAAAGGAAAATTGAAAAGATTTGAATGTCTGTTTTTTGCACCCAGTGAGTGATTCTGTAGATTAACTGCAACAGGCCGGTCAATCCGTAGTCAATGGTGAGAATAAACAAGATGTCTGGAAACAGTTATCTTCAACTCCCATCCGAGAGGCGAGTTCCCTCTAGCAATAACTCACGGGGATTTGACCACGTATGTTCATGAAATAAGGCTTGACGCAGACACCCAAGCAATGATTGAACAGAAGTTTGGGTAGTCGGGGTTTCGTGAAATAAACCGAATTTTACAGATATGACGGGTCATTTAATCCGTTGCTTAGAAAAATATCACTATGTAAATATGATATAAAACAGATTTTTCTGTTAAACTCAAAAAAATCTCTCACTTTGACTAAAGCGTTAAAATGTGCCAATATGAAGCATCTTCTACGCTAAAAATAAATTCTAGGCTGCAAATGAGCAAATGAGAGGCTATTATGTAGATTAGCAGATTTTTTTGTTTGGATATTTTAAATTATTGGACACATTTGTTCTATTTAACAATTAAGGCTATCGGCTACAGCATGAATTAGGCAAGGAATATATATTGCCAATGGATGGGAGTTATATCGAATGAATAAAGAAAATATAATTAATTCTCTGAAATATGTGAAAAAGTGCTTTGGTCTAATTGCGTTTTCTTTCGCAAGTAAAACTCATATCTATTTTAATTAGGAATTAATTTGAGACTCAAACTTAAATTATGCAATTGAGAAAATCCCAGATACTAATAGCCATGTATAGTCCTAAGGTAATTATATTAGTTAGCTAGCTATGGGAAG